AAGATGGCGCTGGAGATATGATCTCAAGGTAGTTGATTAATTGCTTTGCACTTGACTGCTTTAGCTTAAAAACTGTTTCCGGAAGTTACCAAGTTAATTTGAGCAATAGAGATTGCATAGTCTAGTATATGTTTGTAATCCAACATAAAAGGACCTCATATCTTTCTTTTCTCTCTCAAAATATCCGCTTCATTTCTGATTATGAATTTCATTAATTTTCAGGAACGCAAATCTAAGAGTAGAGGCCAACAATCAGAGTAAGTATTGGATGTTTTATCAACTCACTGTTTTTCCTACAATATTCTCTTCCTTCATATATAGTTGGTTCTACTATATGTTCATTATCCTGAGTGATGTTTTTGAAGGGATGACGAAGACAAGATTGTTGCAAATGTGGAATGCCATTATTTGCAAGCAAAAGTCGACGGTCACACCTTTAGCCTTGGAGACTTTGCCTGCATAAAGGTAAACCATGCTTATCATGAATATGGTATTTTTTAGCTCAGTATCCTTGGGCTCCTTTTCACTTTTTCACTGGATCAAACAACTTTTTCATTCAATAGCCTTGGATTTTCTAGAATGTAATGCGTTTGTGAAAAGAAAATATATATAGCTAATTACATGTTCATATCCAATATGGTACAGGGTGAAGAAGAAGAGACCCATGTTGGCAAGATACTAGAGTTTTTCAAGACAACAGATGAAGAAAGCTACTTCCGAGTTCAGTGGTTTTACAGAGCAACGGATACAGTGTGTATACAAGTTCTTCTCTTTCGTTTGTTTAATTATTTGCGCTGCAACAACTAGTTACTCATTTGTCTAATGTTTGTAGGTGATGAAACAGCAGGCTACTAATCATGACAAAAAGCGTCTCTTCTATTCTACCGTAATGAATGACAATCCAGTAGATTGTCTTATTTCTAAAGTTACTGTTTTACAAGTTTCACCTATGGTATGCTGAGTCAAGCTCATTCTCTTTCTCTCTCCCTCTGTCTCTTTTTTTTTTTTGTTTACAATCTTAAGCAGATTTGAGCAATTTGTTACAATCTGCATTTGAATTTTTTAGTTTCATGACTTTGCAGGCCGGATTAAAGCCCAATTCTATAAAATCTGACTACTATTTTGATATGGAGTATTGCGTGGAGTATTCAACATTTCAAACCTTGAAAAATCGTAAGTGCTCATGTAATATGTACATATCTGCTTATGAGTTATCGATTGAAAACGGATATAGCTGTTTTCTCTTTATTTCTTTAAGCAAAACAGATGCCACAGTTTATGAGCAGTTCTACACAGTCTTTATATAAGATCCTAGGTACAGAAGCTTGAACATTCCTTTTTCTTCTTTTTTTGGTATCAGCTAAATCGTCCGAAAACAAGCTTGAGTGTTGCGCTGATGTGGTACCTACAGAATCCACTGAGTCTATTTTGAAAAAGAAAATTTTTAGCGGAGAGCTTCCTGTGCTTGATCTTTACAGTGGTTGTGGTGGAATGTCAACTGGGTTAAGTCTTGGAGCCAAAATATCTGGTGTTGATGTTGTGACGGTACTTGCTTTAAGTAATTAATCTTTATCTCTTTAAATTGGGATGTAAAGCTCTTTTTGCACTCAGTTTCATTTAATATCTGGATTCCTTTTTCTTTTTCTCTTTCAGAAATGGGCTGTTGACCAGAATATGGCTGCCTGTGAGAGCTTGAAATTGAACCATCCAAATACACAGGTCATAATACTTTCGGCGACAACTGCTAGATCATTTTTGGAGAATTATACCAAATCTAATGATGCTGTCGTTGTTTACAGGTTAGGAATGATGCTGCTGGAGACTTCCTTCAACTTTTGAAGGAGTGGGATAAATTATGCAAGCGCTATGTGTTTAATAATGATCAGAGAACTGATACATTAAGATCCGTAAATTCTATAAAAGAAACCAGTGAAAGTAGCTCTTCTAGAGACGATGATTCAGATTCTGAGGAGTACGAAGTGGAAAAGCTGGTTGATATATGCTTTGGTGATCCTGACAAGACAGGAAAAAATGGCCTGAAGTTTAAGGTATGCCCTGTTGAACTTATGTTGTTGATCGAACCTTACTTCTTAGGGTTTTAAGAGTGTTCTTTTCAACTTTTAGAACTTCCAAGACAGATATTCTGCAATTCTTTGCTAGCTTTATGACATTATAGTTTTCTGAAGATGAATTATACCCATAACTTTTTCATTAGGTGCACTGGAAAGGATACAGAAGCGACGAAGATACATGGGAACTAGCAGAGGAATTGAGGTATATGCTTCAAACCAATGTTAAAAAGGGGTTCTGTTGTTATCTGGATCTAATTAATTTTGTTTTAAATTTTAGTAACTGTCAAGATGCCATTCGGGAGTTTGTAACTAGTGGATTTAAGTCCAAGATCTTGCCACTTCCTGTAAGAACTTGCTTCTGAATTGAATTCTTGATCTTTGAAAGTCGTATGATTGTACCATCAACATCTATTTGCCATCAACTTCTATTTGCACTGAAAATCAGAAATCTTGTAAATGATTGTAACAAGGGTTGTGTTGGTGTGATATGTGGGGGACCTCCATGCCAAGGAATTAGTGGCTATAACCGCTATAGGAATGTTGATTCTCCGTTGAATGATGAAAGGAATCAGCAAATTATAGTTTTCATGGACATAGTGGAGTATCTGAAACCCTCATATGTGTTGATGGAAAATGTTGTTGATATTCTGCGTTTGGACAAAGGTTCTCTTGGGCGATACGCTTTGAGCCGTCTTGTGAACATGAGATACCAAGCAAGGTTAGGTATCATGACAGCTGGTTGCTATGGTCTTTCCCAATTTCGATCCAGAGTTTTCATGTGGGGAGCTGTTCCAAACAAGGTGAAGTTATAGGCCTATTAACTTCCTCGAGCTGACTGTTTCATACTTACATTATTTGGTATTTTATTTCAGAACCTACCTCCGTTTCCGCTTCCAACCCATGATGTTATTGTCAGATATGGGCTTCCACTTGAGTTCGAGGTAATAAAATTGTAAATTGGTACTTACCTTATACTCCTTTCCTTAAGCCTGTCGTTCTTCCAACGTAACCCATCTTGGCTTTCATGTTTCAGCGGAATGTAGTTGCTTATGTTGAAGGCCAACCCAGGAAACTTGAGAAAGCTCTTGTTCTAAAAGATGCGATATCAGATCTTCCTCATGTATGTTTCATTCCCACTAGATCCATATGCAATTCAGGGTTAAATAAATATAAATTTAGAAATTCTTTTCTTTTGACATCTCTAGGTATCAAACGACGAAGATCGGGAGAAATTGCCTTATGAAAGTCCCCCCGAGACAGATTTTCAGAGATACATTAGATCAACCAAACGCGGTAAGTTGGATCTGGATTTCTGTAGTTACGGTCTCTTTCACAACATTTGTCTGATAAGCCATGACCACTCACTTGCATATTACATATGTTACTCACGCGTTAGTGTTTTGCTTTGTCAGATTTGACAGGCTCTGCAACTGATAACTCTAACAAAAGGAAAATGCTACTGCATGATCACAGGCCGTTCCATATAAATGAAGATGATTATGCCCGAGTTTGCCAAATCCCAAAGAGGAAGGTACACATTTCTTTTTACTAATAAACAATCCTGATCCTCTAGCCGAAAGATTCTCATGTAGAGAGAAGTGTTTGCAGGGAGCTAATTTCAGGGATCTTCCAGGGTTAATCGTCAGAAACAATACAGTCTGTCGTGACCCATCAATGGAACCGGTTATTCTGCCATCAGGAAAGCCTTTGGTAAAGAATCCTTTTATATGAACTTAGCCATACAAAATTACATGAGTTATTGATGAAAATACACATTATTAGTGCTGAAATTCTGAAGCTAATGTCATTCTACTTGTTAAGTCTCCTGATTCAACAGTTCTCATAATTTCAAAAATGAAGAATATATGTGTACTGATCAGCTCACTTGTGGCCCTCTTTAGGTACCAGGATACGTCTTTAATTTTCAGCAAGGGAAATCTAAAAGGTATACTCTTACACTACTCCACCTGAAACTATTTGTTGAAACTTTCATGTTCTTAAGTCTCGCTGGATGATTTATAAAATTCGCAGACCGTTTGCCCGTCTTTGGTGGGACGAAACAGTTCCAACTGTTCTAACAGTCCCAACCTGCCACAGTCAGGTACCCTCTCAAAGCCATTCCAGGTTTTAACATGAATCCATCTTTTATATTCCTAAACATTCTCTAAGAGGTTTGGTATTTGCAGGCGTTATTGCATCCGGAGCAAGATCGAATGCTAACCATAAGAGAATCTGCACGGCTTCAAGGTTTCCCTGATTACTTCCAGTTTTGTGGAACCATTAAAGAAAGGTACTTGCTTTGTGTTATTTTGGACAAAAACCTAAAAACCAGAGAAAATAGTTTCAGATTAGTAAGGAAATGCAAATCTCATTCACTTAATTTCAATATATACAGGTATTGTCAGATTGGAAATGCAGTGGCAGTCTCGGTTTCTCGTGCTTTAGGGTATTCTCTTGGTATGGCATTTCGTGGTCTAGCCAGCGGCGAGCATCTGATAAAACTTCCCCAAAACTTTTCTCATTCAACTTACCCTCAGCTTCAAGAAACCATTCCTCATTAAAGGATATTGGACAAGTGTGTTATGATTAGTTCCTCTCAATTTAAACGCCGACATGACCTCAAAATGATCAAATTTTGTTCATTAGATCTTCCTTTATGTGACTGGACAGCTTAGTCCATGCACAATCAAAGATATCGTTTTTTTATTAAGATTTTTTCTGTTAGTAAATAATTCCCAAATACTAATCTAATCTAAGATAGTTTTTTTTAGTGTAGTTTTGGTTGGCATTCGATTTTTTATAGATAAAAGTACACTAGTGTCAGTACATTATATCGGTTTCTGGATAGATTATTTTGATTTGTTCGCATTGGTTTAACATTGCATTGCACCTGGTATAACAAACCGATTTTTGGGGTTTGGGTCCGACGGGTCTTGTCCCCCTCTCTATAAATGAATAAAATTTAAAATCCCTCTCTCCCTATTTTTAGGGATTTAGCATCGTCGTTCAATGGCTACCAGATTCCTCATTTCGCGACCTGGAACAGTATCTTCCTCTCGGTTTTTGCTCTCTAATCGTCTCTCTAGTTTCCTCGATAGCTTCACTTCCCGAGAATCGAATTCCTCCAAGCCTTTCCTCAAAACGTTTTCCTCTGTACCGAGCTCAGGGATTGAGCAAGATGTCGCAGCTTCTCTTAACCAAGATACTCGCATTCCCGCTACAGTTATCACCGGATTCCTCGGTTCTGGAAAGGTATTGGATCGAATTCTAGTTTATCGACTGTGTAAAATCGCGAAATTTGTTCTCCTCCTGATTTTTTTTTTTTGTTCGTATGTATATATCTGCAGACAACTCTGTTAAATCATATTTTGACTTCAAATCATGGGAAACGTATAGCAGTCATAGAAAATGAGGTGTGAAATTCAATTTCTTTCTCCACTACTGTGTTTTAGCTTTATGTTGTTGATGAAATGATTAACATTCAGATTTGGTGGATATAATAACAACAGTTTGGGGAAGTTGATATCGATGGATCTCTGGTTGCGAGCCACTCTTCTTCCTCTGATGATATAATCATGGTGAACAATGGTTGTTTGTGCTGTACTGTTCGTGGAGATTTAGTCAAAATGCTTCTTGACTTGGTTAAGAATAAAAGAGACAAATTTGACCACATTGTCATCGAAACTACAGGTATCTATCTGAAGTTGGCATTGTTAATTTTGTTGTTTGTTAGTGAGATTGTGTATTCTTTTGTGACGCTTACCAGGGCTTGCGAAACCTGGTCCCGTTATTGAAACGTTCAATAGTGATGAATTGCTACCGAGATATATCAAGTTAGATGGCGTTGTTACACTTGTTGACTCTAAACACGCGATGCGGCATTTAAATGAAGTGAAACCGAGATTTGTTGTCAACGAGGCTGTTGAACAAATTGCTTATGCAGATCGTATAGTTTTGAATAAGGTTTGTTGCCGTCTACCTTTTAAGCTTCCAGTTTGTGATGTATTTCTTCTCTATCATAATCCATTTGAGCTGTTAATTTATGAGGAAGTGTTCCTCCAACAATATGACATCCACGATTATGAGGAATCAACTTGTAGGTCGTTAACTACTTTCTCATATTTTCTGGCAGATTGATTTGGTATCCGAGCCGTCCGAGTTGGAGCACTTAACTAAAAGAATCAAGGTAAGAGACTTCTTAGCTCATGAGCTTACTTTTCCCTAGTGGATGAAGATGTATTTAAAATTGACACTTCTTCTTTAATTGGTTTTAAAATCATTAGCAAATTAACTGTATGGCACCCATCAAACACACCAAATTCGGAGATGTTGATATGGATTTTGTCTTAGGGGTTGGAGGTTACGATCTTGAGAGGTAACTTCTGCTATGTCTTTTGTCTATGTTGATATTCTTTTTCTCTCTTTTGGTGTCCTGAAACACACATACCTTTTCAGAATTGATTCAGAAGTCAATGGAGATGGCTTGAGTTGTGCAGAGGATCATGATCATCATCACCATCAATGCAGTCATGGTAATCAATCTTTAAATAGAAACGGGTTTCGTAACCTATCTAATTTCGAAGTTAAATCATTCCACGAGCATCTTCTGTTTTCGCATTTGTCATTATAGATGGGTGATAAACTAATACTAATACAGGAAAGCACAAAGAACATCAACATGATCATGTTCATGACTCTGCTGTCACAAGTGTTAGCATAGTTTCAGAAGGAAAACTTGATCTTGATGAGGTAAAAAGCTACTTTTCTCCATCTTTACTTTAGCTGATTATTGATTCCAACGACCATGGACTTGTAGGTTGACGATTGGTTAGAAAGATTAATCGAAGAAAAAGGCGATGATTTATACAGAATGAAAGGTGTTCTCTCGATCGATAGCTCTGATCAACGCTACATTTTTCAGGTCTCGAAAATACTTCTTCAACCGTTACTTACACCATTAATCTTTAACACAGTTTATTAAAAATATGTGAATTGACAATGGAGACTTGGGAATCCATTGCAGGGAGTCCATTCGATGTTAGACGGATGTCCAGGAAAATCATGGGGACCCGAAGAGAAGCGGATAAACAAACTTGTGTTTATTGGAAGAAACTTAGATGAGACCATTCTCAGGAAAGGCTTCAAAGGTTGTCTAATATAAGAACTCGGAAACAGGCCGGTCATGTTTTGTGTGTGTATTTGGGTCTTATAAGAAAGGAGTGATTGCATGAGAAAAATATGACGTGAATTATTTGGGATGTGTGCCATTCGTTAGAGATTGGTGATGTGGTGGATAATGCTAATTTGGATCTTTCAGGTCAAAAGCTAACATGTGCCCGGCTTTTAAGTTCTATGGACAAAAGTATTATTGCCCCACTAGGCAAATGATTGTGACGCCGGATTTTGTGCTTCCTTTGACAAGTTCCACATTCTGCTTTCAACAATTTTGCGTTAAGCTCAAAACTTTGATCTTTCCAGAATTGAATTTTATTATTTAAAAATATACGATACAGTTACACATTAATAGCAAGATAGAAAATCTTGGCATTAAAATGAAAGAGATAAACGTAGCAATTAATACAAGCCATATACGTAGGTGTGGTGAAAGTTGTTACATTCATTTGAAAATACTCCATCACTTCTTTAATATGCCCCATGTTTTCTTTTCTTTTCTTTTATCAAGAGCTACCGATTCGCACGCTCTTTAAAAACGAACCACTTTTAGTGATTTCTCGCAATGGTTTATCGGTATATCTAACCGTGTTATAAACCCATGCACCCGCAATGGCACCAAGAGTTGGAGCAACTATGTAGATCCAAATTCCTTTGTAGCAACCGTACACCATTGCAGGTCCTAAACTTCTTCCTGGATTCATCGACGCACTCGATACCGGTCTGATAATAATGATAAACATAACAATATATCATTTCTTGAATTTTTAGTCTAAAAAGAAAAGTATATGCACAGTAATAGAAATGGTAGTGATAACTTACGCGGCAATTAGCACGTTAAGTAACACCGTTGATCCAATTGCTAATCCAGCAAGTTCTCCGATCTGAATATTGCGGCATTTTATCACAATGTTAAGTTTCTCATAAATATAGGAATAACGATTAAACCCCATAAAAAGACTTTGGTCACGAAAAAAGTAGTAATATTTTTGGTTAGAAATTTAGAATATTTGTTTCCCTAGTAGTCAAAATTGAGAATCAAAGAGGAAACTATAAAGCAGAGTTCAATTTTCATGCAACATAAGAAGATATGAAATACTAACCGCTCTATTATCGGTAGCAACGCCAGAAATGATGAACATTAGATAGAAAGTGACGATAAACTCCATCACAAACGCCTGCAGATCCGATCCCACCGGCGATGATCCGATAAACACATCATGTTTCCCGCTACAAACGTCGTGATCAAGCCCGAACAACAACCGTAAAGTCGCAGCCGCGAGCGTTGATCCGATCACTTGTGATATGACATAAGCCGGAACCTACAAAAAATCAAAGAAAAATATAAAATAAATTTATCCACCAGTTCACATTAATTAGGGACCCAATCTTGGAAGATTGTGACGTTTATATAACAAAATAATGGACGTGGAAAAACTATATGCATACAATAATTACATAACACTTTCAAAAAGTTTAATTTGGAAACTACCAATAACAAAAATTTAATTTATTTTAACAATTCTGATAAAAAGTAGATTTACATATTCTTATTAGGTAATATGTATCTTCACTCATCTATAGACTATAGTAAACGTCGCATTAATAACCCTACGTATTTTAATAACCTAAAGTCTGGTGCAATACAACCAAACGATAGCTAAACTAAACCTATCAAACACAAAACACTATTAATGTAGTTTAGTTTGTTTCATGAAACTCAAAAACACACATAAAATACAAAACTTGATCGATCATTATATGCTATATGTAATTGTTTATGTGTAGGACCTGTTTGAGAGGAAAGCGGCCGCAAGAAGCGAAGGCGATTGTAACGGCCGGATTGATATGAGCACCGGAGATGTGACCAAGAGAGTAAATGAGGACCATGATGGTGAGTCCCCAAACGATGGCGATCCCTGGAAGAGTCACGACATTGTCGTTTTGCATGTTTACAACCACCGATGCACAACCGGTGAATACCAAAAAGTAGGTTCCAAGAGACTCCGCGATCAACTGAAAACAGAGCGTTAATAAAAAAACCGAGAGTATTAATTGAAGTAACGAATTAATCGAAAGTTGGAACAAAGAAGTACAAAACAGAGTCTTTTTAAAACCTTTTGTAAGAAAGGGACAGAGACTGAGAGGAGGGAGTCTTGTTTCTTCAAGGGTTTAGGGTTATGAATAGCTTCCATTTCTTGTTGATGTTCGACTTCTTCCTTGAGATTCACCATTACTACTTCTCTGGCGTTGCCATAGCCGTTTCCCGAGATATCCGCCATAACTGACTTTTCTCTTTTTTGGAAACAAAGAAGAGGAAAAGGATTAAACTTTAAACGACTGTTATGACTTGTGAGAATGAGAAGTTTGGTGGCGAATATCTCCTATTTATTGGCAAACCGGGGAGAGAGAGAGAGAGAGAGAGAGAGAGAGACTGGACTTCTTTGACGATTTTAGAATTACCATTTTTATTAATTAAAAAATGAAGAAGTATGATTTGTTTTTTTTTTTCTTTTCACAAAACTCCTTACTTTGATAATAATAAAATCCTTCTCTTAGTTATATTGATAATAACTATAAAGAAGATCATATGTTTGCGGAAACTATTAGGGGTAGTCTTCCAAAGTTTAAAGTTTCTATACCAGGTCTAAAATTCAATTTTCAGGGATTACAATTTTTTGTAGATCGACATATGCAAAATTTATCAAAAGTTTTAGAATGCTACATGCGAATTGTCTGTTTTGATCTCGCGTATTGTGCAGAGAACCTATCAATTTTTTGGATGTTATATATACATGTAGGGAGAGCTACGTATTGTTTTTAAACTTTTAGTTTATATTTTCAAAATGTTCTTTTGTAATCGTATAATTTATTTGTCATATATTACGTCATCATTCGAGATATTTGGCGAATCATATGCATGATATAAATCGATTGAATTTAACTATCTGCAACATATGTGATTATGATGATCAAGTTCATGGAATAATGATTCCACAAGACAGTTCTCTTTGCAATAATCAGATCCACGACAAACAGATATAAATGCAGCATTATGGAGTCGATAAATTTTTGGATCGAAAACTCTAGATAACCTAATTTTTTCGAACATATCATATCGAATTTTGGATTTCGGATTTTCAGTCCACCCTTACACCCAAATTTGTTCGTATCATATAAACCAAAAAAATAATGTCATGCAAACTACAGAATAAATTGAAAAATGTCACTTGATGGAATTGATGAAGGGTCTTTAAGTTTTCAACTACCAACCGGGTGATACGGACATATTTTATTTAGCTCATAGTTGTGCATGTGTGTATACACAACATTATAAAAATTACTATAAGATTTTAAGATATTTATATCCTGATCATGCCAACGTACGTAAACTTTAGTCTATTGTTTGGATCCGATAATATCAACCTCAGGTTTGAATCCATCCTAACATGTAACTAATTATATATTATGAAAAAAAAAATTATATATTATGATCAGGATAGTTTATTTGCGACAATACTCAAAATGTCATCGCTAGTTTAAGTAAGTTCGAATCCTCTTTAATGGATGTTAAAATGTGGGGTTTCTTTACAATTTACAATTTGAATTTTCAGTAAATTAGCAATGTTAATTCCACTTGTAAAACACGTATGCTAGCTGGTGAATGGTGATAAGAATCTTAAAGACTTTCAGTTACTTATTTGATCCAAATGTTTATGATGTATGTCATAAAAAAAAAGGAGAATTGAAAATTTGTATTGAATGTGAGAACATATATAAAAAAGGGAAGGTATATATATAAAGAATCATTCAGAAAGAAAAAAAAACATAGATGTAAATGTAGGAGTGTCAAAGTCGATCAAAATTAATAGATCATTGACTTTATTCGACCAATGAATTCTAATGAATCGAATATTATTTTATTTTATTTTAATAAGTTGATGAAATAAATGAGTCGAATCGTAATGGACTGATGAATTATGGAGGCTACTCAATGGTTCCTCCACCACGACACTCGGATTCAGTTCATCAATTTTTTTTTACATCATCATAATTTTATTATATATCACCAATTATCATCGATGCTATCATACCCATCATGATATAATCACACACCATCATATTAATCATCATCATCTATATATTATCATACCATCATGATAAAAAAAATCATCAACATCATTTCATCAGCATGCAATCATGATCATACTGAAATTTTATGTTAATCCTTTTACCAAAAAAAAAAAAGAAATTTTATGTTAACAACGTAAATCCATAGTTTCTAGCCGAAAATGTGATTATGCTATTTTCTTTTTTTTGGGGGTCAAATTTTTGATCTGCTTGTTTTCTTTACCAAAAACACAACTCTGTAATTCACACCTAAAAAGCAATTAGACAAATTTTCCCCAAAATAATTGGATATATGATCCCGCCAAATCTTAGTTTGCAAGTTTTTTAAATAAAAATTATGTAGTTCTGTAATTTTCTGCACAAACAATTTCAAAAATTTCCACCAAAACTACAAAGACATAACATTTTTGTTATGATGTATTTCCGCAATTTCTCGCTAAAATGCGCCGTGCCGTGATTTGATATTCTTACTTTCAATATATCTGGTTTATGAACCATAAATAAAAGAAAACTAAATTTTATGTAGATTTCATCTTGATGTAAAATGGTTTATCGATTTATGTACTGATGTTAAAATACATTATCAATTTCACCTGGTTTTAATAGTAATTCCAAAAAAATAAGATATATCTAAATTTATCTTAGCTATAAATCTTAAGGGATTTATTTCTTAAAATGCAGATACTGTAATTTCAAATTTATTTTATTTTTGTTAATCATTGAATGATATAAGATTTGGTTTTATGTCAAAATTAGTTTTTTTTTTTTTGGTAGACGAGGGGGACAAAAGTCCCCTACAATTTATTAATTAACTTAAAAGAATTACAAACGAACATTGCGTGGGAAACCTGTCCCATTAGCATCCTCTAACATAGTCAAAAAAAACATATCAGGGCAATAATCACAAGAATGAAATCCTAACTGTAACGAAAACGCATAGTTTGCTAATCTATCGGCTAGACGATTAGCTTCCTTATACACATGAGTAACCCGGACTAACCAGTCCTTTGATAAAAAGCCTTGGCACAGGCGTACCAGGAAGGCAAGCGGATGAACCTCACTTATCCCTGCTT